ACACCTCCCGCCTGCAGTACTATTGCATGCGTTGGAACATGCGGTACCGCAATGCTGTGCGTTCAAGTGCAGTGGGATTGCAAAAACTGTGCATGCAGTTTAATTCTGTAGTAAACTGTTTGTCACTCAATTTGTGTATTTTATATGAAATAAAAAAATTGTATTTTTTTTATTTTATCCGATTAATTGTAAAAATAATTGGCCAACGAATCCATTATGAAAATAATCATTAGTTGCAGCCCTAGTTTTAGGCATACTTTAAAAGATAGAGACATGCATCGCTCGAGCTCCCTGCAAAGGTTCCGAAATCTGGATGACACATGGATACCTCATGCTAGTTATTGTCCTCTAGTGTACACACGCTACTTTGTACAGAGCAACTTGTACAGTACGTGAAAGAGATATACTGTGCCCAAAAATCAATCGACACAACACTTCCCAGCCTTCCCACCGGTCTATTGCAGTCTGTCAGAATACCTGAACAGTGGCTGCAGCTGACTGACTGTAGTCCCCATTCAGCCGAGATATTTCAGACCAGTTCCTTTGACAAAAGTCCATTGAAAAGTCCCAACAGGGCAACCCACTGCTCAAAATGCTCACCAGTGTATGGCCAGCTTTAGCCTAGCCATAAACAACTAGATTTATTTTGTTCAGGAATCAAAGGATTTCTCCATGCATGCTAAACAGCATGCATGGAGGAATCTACACTGCTGGCTATTGTATTCAGACAGCTGCTGCAACTGCCGAATACCAAACAGTGACTGTATCTGATAGGTATGCAGTCACTGCTCAATTTGTTACATTTTCCACAGGCTCAGTGGTGCACACAGGGACACCCTCGGCTCCTACACAATTCAGCAGGAATCAGACAGAATTTGAGATGTGTATAACTAGCTTTATACTGAGAGAGGAGGAACAGTAAAAACGATCATTGTGCAGCAATAATAAGCAGAAAGTACATCTGCATATATACTGAATAAATAGGACACATTTATATGCATGTATATTTACAAACTATACATAGAAACAAAGGTTTTTTGTTTTTACTTTTTAAACTAACATTTTGATTTAGCCAAACAGATCCCAAGCACACACTAACTCATAATAAAAAGCAGCGTTTGGAATCAGTTGCATGTTTCTAAAAATATATTACTGTACATACAGAGCACAATGTTTTCCTAAACTACAGCAGCCTTATTCAAGCAGGGTGCCATGGCAGACTGGGGTGCCTCAACATTTTCTGATGGTAGGACTCTGATGTGATGGGGCAACTCTGATGTAAAAGGAGGGGGGGGGGGATTCCAATATGAAAGGGGGGATTCTGATGTGAGGGGGGGCTTCTAAGATGAAAGGGGAGTATTCTGATGTAAAAGGGGGGATTCCCATATGAAAGGGGGGTCCTGATGTGAAGGGGGGCTTCTAAGGTGAAAGGGAGGATTCTAATGTAAAAGGGGGATTCTGATATGAAAAGGGGGGATTCTGATGTGAGGGGGGGCTTCTAAGATGAAAGGGGAGTATTCTGATGTAAAAGGGGGGATTCCCATATGAAAGGGGGGTCCTGATGTGAAGGGGGGCTTCTAAGGTGAAAGGGAGGATTCTAATGTAAAAGGGGGATTCTGATATGAAAAGGGGGGATTCTGATGTGAGGGGGGGCTTCTAAGATGAAAGGGGAGTATTCTGATGTAAAAGGGGGGATTCCCATATGAAAGGGGGGTCCTGATGTGAAGGGGGGCTTCTAAGGTGAAAGGGAGGATTCTAATGTAAAAGGGGGATTCTGATATGAAAAGGGGGGATTCTGATGTGAGGGGGGGCTTCTAAGATGAAAGGGGAGTATTCTGATGTAAAAGGGGGGATTCCCATATGAAAGGGGGGTCCTGATGTGAAGGGGGGCTTCTAAGGTGAAAGGGAGGATTCTAATGTAAAAGGGGGATTCTGATATGAAAAGGGGGGATTCTGATGTGAGGGGGGGCTTCTAAGATGAAAGGGGAGTATTCTGATGTAAAAGGGGGGATTCCCATATGAAAGGGGGGTCCTGATGTGAAGGGGGGCTTCTAAGGTGAAAGGGAGGATTCTAATGTAAAAGGGGGATTCTGATATGAAAAGGGGGGATTCTGATGTGAGGGGGGGCTTCTAAGATGAAAGGGGAGTATTCTGATGTAAAAGGGGGGATTCCCATATGAAAGGGGGGTCCTGATGTGAAGGGGGGCTTCTAAGGTGAAAGGGAGTATTCTGATGTTAAAGGGTGGCTCTGATTTGAATGGGGGCTCCTGATTTAAAGGGAGGACTCTGATACAAAGGGAGGAACCCCACATTGTGTGTATTTGCCTGAGGTGCCCCCTTACATTTTAAACTGGGGTGCCTGGAGATTTTGCATAACTTTTAAGGGTGCCGTGAGTGGGAAAAAAAGGATGAGAAACACTAAACTAAAGTATGCAATTACAGAATACGAGATACCTAGAGGATGTGTGAGCCGGTGCACACAGGCTTGAGAAGCAAGTAACAAAATGGCTTGCGTTTGAGATCGGTTTGTGATCAGTTCGACCTTTCAGATGCATTTACAGTGACTTGTATGCAGGGATAAAAGCAAAGCAACGTGTTGTGTTGCATGAAGAAAGCAAAAATAAATGTAACAGTTCTCCACTCTGTCCAGATCCAATTCAAACACTGCATGCCAGATCCAATACAATGCTTCACAATCTGATGTCAGAAGCAAGTCACAAATGCCCAGGTATCCTCACCCCTAAGCTGGCCACAGCCCTCAGATGAAAGCCAGTCCACCTCTGACAATTGATAAAGGTCTTTTTGGCCACATGCAAACAAACATGAACACACAGATCACCTATAGAGGAAGGTCTGGTTGGTGGGGAAATCGAGCAAGGTTCTGTTCATTTACCCCAGAGAAACAGTTTACCAGCTGTGCCCAGATGTACTGCAGAAATGAACATATCCTCTCAACTGGGTGGCAATCATCTCATATCTATGCCCAGCCAGCTCTGACAGTTGGAACAAGGTCTTTTTGGCCACATGCAAAAAAGTATGAACACTCAGGTCACCTATAGAGGAGGGCTTGGGGTGGAGGAACAAGGTTCTGTCCAGTTGTGCTGAAGACCTGAATATGTCTCAACTGGTTGGCAATCATCTCATATCTATGCCCAGCCAGCTTTGACAGTTGGAACAAGGTCTTTTTGGCCACATGCAAAAAAATATGAACACTCAGGTCACCTATACAGTAGAGGAAGGCTTTGGGTGGGGGGAACAAGGTTTTGTCCGGTTGTGCTGAAGACCTGGATATGTTCTCAACTGGGTGGCAATCATCTCATGTCCATGGCCAGCTTTAGAACCCAAGCTCTCCTCTTTCATCACGTTTCAATGTCCTAATGAGCACAGACAGCCACCATATAACTTTGGTGCAGTTTCAGACTTTACCTCTTAATAACTAAACCTGAAAAGTAATTGCCGGATAAATTAATTAAACATTTAGCACAATGCTCACACCGATGTTTCTCAATTGTTGCTTACGTGCATGCCTCTATATGTATGCATCTCATGACTCATATATTGCATGCTTTGCATGTTTCAAGCGCGTTGTGTTATTAGTACGCAGACGCTGGAAACGCTCACATATGACCATGTCTTTTTTAGCCTGGACTTCAGTATGTAGAAGTGTTTGGCTAGAAAATTTTGCAGCATTTGGGTACCATGGCAACCGTGGCAGGCCAGCATTGCTTACATGCCCATTCATAAACCAGTTAAGCAATTCTATTGTAAAACATGAGACAGCTCTGCGGGTTTCCTTTAACAACATCAGGGAGAAGAGCTATGATGTACAGGAAAGCCGTAGCAATCAGGTACAAGCGTGCGCTAGATTAGCATAGATGCAAGAAAAAAAGTATGCAAGAGGAGTTGGGACATTTCACCGGATTTTGGTAAAGAGCGGATAAATGACATAGTGATCTATGCAGAGCATTTACAGGGGGGACAAAACAGATGACACCTCTTATATCTAAGCTAAGGGCACTTATGCATCTGCTGTGCTGGAATTGGCAAGGACAATATATGCATATACAGAAAGCAGATACACCAATCAGAGCCTATCATGATGAATCCAAGTGCAACAAGACATCAAGGCCCATCCACACAGCACATCACCATCAGCTGCATCACAGGGACACAGAGCCATGGCAAAAAAAAAAACACACACACAGATCAATACACACAGGCAGAAAGCCCAGTCACCTATATCCAGCAAGATGTCAAAACAAAGCAGTAAGGCCCAGCAGAGCAGATGGGAAGGTGCAAACAGGATCAGCCCCACCGGTGCCTGCAGTATGACAGCTCAGAGAGGGGGAACATTAGAAGTGCAATAGGTGGAGATGATCCCATCCAGCACACACACAGGAAGTCAGATCACACCTCTCATATGGGAAGTCGGTGCTGACAACTCCATGTACACACAGTGATCGAGGCTGTGTGCCGACAACTCCATGTACACACAGTGATCGGGGCTGTGTGCTGTCACCAGGTCACCAAGTCAGTTCTCCGGGCCAGGCTGATTACCGGTAGATCTCCAATCGCTTGCCTCCAGCACATTCCCGCACAGCTTGGCCCTTCTGCATTGCTGAATTTTCACCCAGCACTCC